CCTAAAACCCTACGACGGCACAAAAACCCTAGCCCTAAATCAAATGCTTAAGACCGAAAACAATTAATTAATGGTTTTGAAGGGAAATAACGCAACCAAAAAGACGGAATAAAGGATCCTCAAAAAGAGAGAATTCCTGACGTAAATATGAAGCATTAAAACCGTAATTCCCAAGGGAACCTAACGATTCTAGGATTATTAAAGGGTTGTTGAATTTCATGCCCCTAAACTGACACCCAAGTGCTAATTTGGGGCCTGAAGTTTTCTTTCCAAACCAATCTGTGCTTCCTACTGTTGAAAATAGGCCAATGCACTTTCTTTTTCCTACCTAATGTATGTTTTTAAATAAGATGTTTTATTAAACATAATGACATACATAGGATATAACAAATATCTATTCAAAACTCAAACGTGAATATCAGAAACTAAAGTTGTGTCTTAATTAAAAGATGTACATCGTGATTAACATCATGGGGCATAAAACAAAAAAAAAATTACAAATATCAGCACAAACTATGAAATACAAAGTCTTTCAAATCAGTGTACCATTGTCTTCTTACAATTTTATCCAATACGCGGTCCAAAATGTCTATGTGAGTAAATCTTTCCAAATGATGTTAATACCTCGGTATATCTTTCCTAATGATCCGCTACCAATCTTCTGGCCAAGTCGAAACCTTTCCCCCACCTGAGACTCCATACGCCCAAAACGCAACGGAGAGAAACCCTAGCCCTAAATCAAAACCCTAAAACGAAAAGAACATTAATTGATCAGATTTCAGAAGAAAACATCTTAATTACACATTGGATGACTTAACCATCAAAACCCTAATTAATTAGAAAGTTTAATAATCATTGATATTTCTTGATTAACAAGAAATCATTGACCACATACTTTACTTACCCATAATGGATATATATATATATACACACACATATACATACATACATACATACATACATATATATATATATATATGTTGAAAACATTGGCAATGTTGAAAATATTTGGCAGATTAATGAATGCCCACACAGATTTTCAATACCCACACAGTAATGTAGCCTTTGGAAATGAAGGAGATTGTATTTTCAAAGTGTGTGTGCTAGAGTTGCTTTATAAATAGTGCGCTCCGTGTACTATCAAAATACAGAGAAAAAGAAAGATAAATAACATCAGTATCCATTCATCCCTCTTTTATTTGTCATCCCCTTGTGTTATAGTTACAGTGTAATATTTTATACTTGCTTCGCTCCTGTCACTAGTAAAGGTTATCTCTCTAACTTTTACCTATTTATAACAATTATTTATAACTATATATATATATATGGGAGCAAAGAAAATTATTCAGTCCTTGACTTTTCCATGTTTAATAATATAAAAATTAATAAATACGAAGATCCCACCCAAAAATCGTATCAAATACCCTACAAAATAAGAAATTTGATCAGCATTCAGCAACTAGCACCTTAATCAATATTTGAGGGTTTTTTTGTTAGCACCTTATATAGGACTACACTCCTAAAACTCCACTTTGATTTTATTATTTTTGTCTCTTGAAAGTCAAATTTTGTTACTTAAACCCTTATAACTCGATTTTTACTTCATTTTTCCTAAATTCTATTCAATTAGATAATGCCACATGATTAAAGCAAAAGATAAAAAAATATTTATTTTTAGATATGTGTGCATGTCCACTTTAACCCCTCCTTCCGTTGTCTTCCTTGTAACTCCTTTCAAACTTCATCGTCCTTCATCTTCTTTAACGAAATTTATAAAAAATACAAAATAATGTCTGACCCTCTGTATACAACAGCTCTGCAATTCTAAATTTGAGTTGAGTGTCATTTTCTTCTTCTTTTCTACTGTCGTTTATAGAATCGTCTCTTTCTTCTAGAGTAAGCCATTTCTTCTCAATTCATTCCCTCTTATCCAAATTGTTGATATGATTGATGTTAGAGAATTAGTTTCCACTTGGTAATTTGAGCTTTTATCCCCTTGAAATTACGAATTTGACAATGGATGGAAAGCACTTTTCTTATGTAAAAATTGATTGAGCAGCCTCCCTTCTATGAAAGAGGGGTTTTGCTGCCCACAATGCCACAGCATAAGGTTCTTTTAAATCTTAGGTTGTACACTGTTCACTTGCTGCCACAATAAATACCCAATAAGTTTTCCACACCAAATTCGACTTGTTGGGCCTTGGACATACCCAACAACTGATTTCAGTCCAAAATATCTCTGAGTTTAATTTCTTGTTTCATCATTGTATCCATATGTCACAAGAATTCTTTACTTTTCTCACCGTGCATAATTTATGGGTGGTGTTATTAGTACTCTTAAAAGTCTTTTTGCACTCCTTAAATGTATTTTCCTTCATATATTCACGAGTGCAAGGTAACATTTTTGGTAGGAATAACACTTGCATTCCCTCTCATGGGGGAATGCACATATTCCACCAAATACAAATAACGTAGTTTCACTCTAAAAAATTTATAATCGAAACCATTCAATTTTTTAATCTTCATTTAAAGAGCATCCCACAACAAAACATTCAAATTGGAGATTGTTTAGTCACCAAATGTATCAAATAAACATGGGGATGCAAGTATTATTCTAATTCATTTCAATTATATATTATATATAAATATACTAATTGAGAGTGTACGTGTAAATTTAATCTTTGAAGGTAAATTTGTCATTTGAGAAAACATATTTTGATGCAATCGGTAAATTTTGGACGGAATATGAGTTGAACTATTTGTTTTGAATAAACGATATTATCTACATTAAGGAAGTGAAGGAGTGGTTAAGTCTCACAATGAGCTATCAATAATGTACTCCAAATTCAGTTTTTGGGCCTCTAGCTAAAGTGAGATTCATATTTGAGTTTCAATATGAGATTTAAGTCCAATGTGGAGCTCATGCTAATAAAGAAAAATGATACTTAACCAAGAAAATAAAATTTGAGTTGTGAGTCTAATATACATAAACAAATTACCAAAACTCTAAATTTTTCTCCTCAATGCAAAAGTATTAAACCTATAAGTTTTTAGACTCATATAGATGTATGTCCAAATTTTAGTTTTACATTGAAGATACTCTTTTTGATTGTTTGAATAGCTAGGATATAGGCTGATACAAAGATTTAGGTTTGGAAAATTTTATCATGGTTAACCCACAGTTATTCTTTCATATCTATGTTAAATACTACTATCTTTAATGATAATTGCATAATAGGTAAATCAAATAATTTAAAATGACGTTTTACTCTAATGGTGGAAAGAAAACATGTTTATCCACTCTGGTGTGGGTTTAATCCTCGCTTATTCTCCTTCTCCCTAACAATTAACTACTCAATCCACTAACACTATGACTGTCACATCCCGGCCCGGGGGGGACCACTTCCCGGGCCCGCTCCACCACCGTAGCACGATATTGTCCGCTTTGAGCCCCGACCACGCCCTCACGGTTTTGTTTCTGGGAACTTACACGAGAACTTCCCGATGGGTCACCCATCCTGGGAGTGCTCTTGTGCGCTACTCGCTTAACTTCGGAGTTCCCATGAAACCCGAAGCCAGTGAGCTCCCAAAAGGTCTCGTGCTAGGTAGGGATGGGAATATACATTTAAGGATCACTTCCCTGGGCGATGTGGGATGTCACAATGACTTTACTAGAAAATTTCATATTTAATTTTTAAGTTGGGTATAAAGGAATATAAAAAAAAAAGTTGGGTATAAAAGAAACAAATGCTAATTTCAAACAAAAAATTTAAAATTTGATTTGATTTTTAGTTTTGGGGTGTTTGGGTCAATTGAAATAAAGTTTTTGATATATGTGAAAGTTTTCATAGAGTAAGGTGACATATACCATTTATACTTGAAAAATTATTATCCACCCTTTAGCGTAAATATAATTTATATGTACTAAAAAAAATTGTCCATAAAGAATGAAAACTCCCCATGAGATAGAACCTACCTACTTCCTTTACAAAAGAATTCTGCCACGAAATTACATCCTTGAAGAACGAGATTAATTTCCAGCCACTGCATGCTCTGCGTTTGTAACGTTCCATTTTAATGGAGGAGGTTTACACGAAGCAATGGGAGGGTCTGCATGTTGTACACCTAATCCAGACAACCAAACTTACATGTGATGCATGCATCTACATCAGTTCTCTCTGTTCTTCCCTTCCCTATAAATCTTCAACCAATTCGCTTTTGTTATCATCAACTAGCAAACTCTGAGTTGCAAAAGATAAAGCATCTTAGTGTTGTGATGGAGTTCCGTTTCTCAAAAATGTTTGCTTTTCTCACTGTACGCATAAGCTAGCTCCATCTCTAGTTAATTAATTTGGATATTATCCTTTTAATGTTTACTAATTTCGTTGTTTTCTTAATTATCTGTGACTTAATTAATGATGGTTCGACTTCAACTGTTGCAGCTGACCACACTGGTGGCAATGGCAAGTCATGCTGCGGCTGTCCGGCAGCCGTTGCCTCAACTTTCCTACTGGAACTCCGTCCTGCCAAACACACCAATGCCTAAAGCTTTCAGTGAACTTGTCCATCCTGGAGGTTTGTGTGTGTGTAAATTATTGAAAATTAATAACAAAATGGTTATAAAACCCGGCCTCAGCGAAAATCGTCTGAGAATCTCTTCCATTTTGTTTGATGAGAAGGGGATCGACTCTGCGGTTGGGCGGGACACGAAACGTGATGATTTGCTAGTTGTATCTCTGGGGAAGCCATATTTCACTGTTTTTCCAGGGCGCAAGTCCTTCTCCATGAGGACTAAACCGGCGCAAGGGCCAAGAGCATCGGTGGCTTTGTCAAGTTGATTCTCAGCGCCAGCAGGACGGAGAAAGTTCTTGGATACTAAGTCTGCAGATTTAGCAGCGTAAACCAAATTAACGCAGCAAAGTACATGCGAGGGACTACACATACGCATACATGTTGTTATATAATTAGTACGTGTCAAGGAAACCATTGATTATTGCGAAATGCCAGCCATGAAAGGAGAAGAAAGATATTGTGCTACCTCTTTGGAGTCACTGGTTGACTTCGCCACCTCCGAGCTCGGAAGTAACATCCAAACAATGTCGACGGAGGTGGAAAGAGGAGCCAACAATGATGTGGAGCAGACTTACACGATAACCGATGGAGTGAAGGTTCTGGCGGAGGACAAAGTCGTTACGTGCCATAAGATGAGCTATCCATTTGCTGTGTTCTTGTGCCATGCCATAGAAAAGACAAGGGCCTATATGGTGCCTATGGAAGGTGCTGATGGGACCAAGGCTAATGCAGTAATCATTTGCCATCGAGACACATCTAAATTTGCACCAAACAATTGGGGCTTGTCACAGCTCCATCTTAAACCAGGAGAAGGTCCCCTCTGCCATCTTCTTTCCGACGGACATCTTACCTGGCTTAGAGAAAAAAACCTAGATGATCAATACATCGTTTCAGTTGCCTAATCATCGTACTAAACGACTATCAGTCAGCTGAAAAAGAGTCCATAAGAATAAGGGAGTTGTATCTGCTTCTGCTCCATGAAAATAAATAAAGGAATGCCTTGAGAATAGGCTAGCACAGTTTCAAGAAAATATTAGTTTCCAAAGAAGAAAAAGACGAAATTGACTGAAGAATAGAATATCTTTCTCACCCTCTACTCCTTCGATTTCAGCTATCTTCAGCGACGGTGTGATGATTCGCTGACAAATACATTTCCCAAACTAAACATGTCCTTCTCTTTGCACTTAATTTCCTTTTATATAATTTTATTTTGGTGAAACTATTATGTTTAAGCCAAAATGAGGCACAAGTGAATACTTATTCATGTGAAAACAATGCCCGGGAAATGGCCCTATTTTATTTTTCTAGCATGGCCACCAAAAACTCAAGAACCGCCTGGTATCCTACACTCTACGTCAGGTTATTGAGATTTGAATCCGAAATTGATGACAGAAGAAACTTTATATGGGCTTATAAGAAATTAGGTTGCTTTCTATATTGCCAATTGATTTTATGTGGAACCTCAACTTTCTTTATGATATCATAGCAAGTTGTCCTTTGTGTGAAGCTTAACACCACACGTGCTCCACGTCACCTAGTTTGTGTTATCAACGTGTTTGGCTTAAAATTCCTTACATGATGGGGCATGTTGAGATTGAATCTCACATTGATAGGAGAATGAACTTTACATGAGCTTATAAGAAGAAAGGACCTTCAACCCAACACACAAATCAACGCTTTATGCAAAACCTCTCACAACTTATGTGAAACACTAAATACTTTACTAATTATTAGCACGAATTCCATCTTGTTAGACGGGTTTGAGTTGGCAACCAAATGACAACGACTGTCTGGTTATGCGGATTTTCCTGAAGCAACTAGCAAAGGCAGCTATCTAGTTAGACAAAACCTAAGTTGTAGAGTTACTTGCCTTAGAAGTTTTGGTTGTCTCGTTAGACAGGGAGTCTCTCAAGCTCTATTGACTATCTATCTTAAGTCTCAGCCGGTGAAGAGTGTTTGGTTTCTTTCGCCGAAAGAAGTCACTTCATTAGCTTTCTCGGCAAAGTATTACTTTCAAGTTATTCAAAGTTTGACACATAGACAGTCAAACCAATATTGAACCTCATAGCAATTGACATAACCTTGTCTTCAGGTCATAGAACCCAAGGCGAAGAGTGTTCCTTTCAACATTCACCACATTCAAGATTACCAAAAGTGCTTCTAACTATGTTCGGTAGAAAAAGATAGAAGTCTTTATGAATTCAAAAAAAAATAAAAAAATAAAAACACTTTAAGTGCTTTAAAAGCGCGTGCTCTGACTTTTTTTTTTTTTTTTTTAAGAAACACTTCATATGCTCTTTCATAGAGCACTTGCATTTTTTATTAATTTCAATATGCTTCTAATACAAATGCTTTTACAATAAGTGCTTCTTAACATAGTGTTTTTCAAAAAAGCAGTTCGGAACAAGGATAGTTCATCATTGTAATCTCTTAGTGCGGAATACTCTCTGGCAAACCTGGGTTGAAATTTTCTTTTGTCGAGGCCCAAATAAATGTACCATTTTCTCCATTGTACTTAATCATGGATTCACGGTTGCTTTTGAGATAAATTTAACGTCAGAATGTGCGTGGATTGGTGACAACTTTGTGGGTTGGTCACACCTGTGTTTATACTTGCTTAATTGAGGAAGCTTAGCTGACAATGTTAGCGCTTTGCCACCTTCGAGAAACTGACAATTTCATACATTTGCATGTTGCTGTGAAATACCACCTCTTTTTCCAACCGATTGATTTGCAGTTTGATTAATTTTTTCCGGAGATTTTTAAGAAATGATCAAGAAAATAAAAGGAACTAGTTTTGAGTGACTGCTTACATCGAGAAAAATAAAAAATCCCCATTTCATAACAAATCCCACAAATTTAAAAAGAAAATCACATCGCTAATCACATATTACATGATACAACATACATAGGAGATCAAAAACTCATGTAACTGAAGATGAATTCACAATCTGTAACCGGAAAAAAAATAAAAAATAATAAATAATAAAAAAAAAAGAAGAAAAAGACGGGGACGCACAATCTCGTTTGTAGTAACGCATAGCACACGCGGACTGACTGACGACGTCCAAGAGAAAGAATTGGCACAATGCAACCAAACACAATAGCAACTCTGCCGAAAACCCACCGCCGGCCCCTAGTGTTAACGATAATACATTAGCTGGTGACCGGATGAACTGTTAGGATACGCATCGTACATAGGTTGGGATCCGCCAGAGTTCAATGCCATGGACGTGGCAGCAGCCTGACCCATGGCAAGTTGACGCTGATAAGCCATCAAATCAGCTGGAGAATATCCTTGGTTAATACCAGCAGTAGGAAGAATCTGATAGGGCTGGGCAGGAGGAGGTAGTGGATTAGAAGCTATCCCGGCAGGAGTTGGTTTGCTACCCCACGAGCACTGCATACACGGTCACACAAAACAATAGATGTTTCATCAAGACAGATATACACTGTTTGTAATTTGATTTACCACCAGCAAAAGACGTACAGTACACATCGTTTCAAATGGTGTCACTGTCAACACGGGATTTCAATTGTAGGTCAATTGAATGCATCGCAACCCACTGAAAAGCGTCAAGTGTCATGTGCACATGTGCAATGAAGAAAAGTATGAACGACGCAAAGGAACTGCATGACCATTAAAGTTTACAAATCTACATTAGAGTTTCTATTACCTTCATGGACTTTCCATGAACTATCCTGCCATTTCCAATTTGAATAGCCAACGCTGCTTCATCATGAGTGTTGTATCTCACAAATCCAAAACCTTTATCCCTCTGCACACGTACTTCCTCAATAACCCCAGCCCCAAGAGCATGAAACTGACTATGAAGTTCAGCTTGAGTAACCTGAAAAGGAAGTTCAAATATATAAGTCATTAGACCACCAACTTTAAGGCTTAAAAATTAAATCCAAATGTAACGTAGCCAGAATCAATGTTTAATCACCTCATGGGAGAGGTTGCCAACATAGACAGTTGTGTATGCTTGATTGTTTTCAGGGGCCTCTTCGTTGGAGTTCTCTTGACCTCCATCTGCAAAATAAAGTAACCACAAAAACAAGCCATCCACATCAAGTCTTGTCTGAACTTCCCACTCAACCCCAGTATCATAAAGTTCGGCAACATATAACAGGGTCAACCATAAATCGAAGAACTATCTGCTTTAGCCAATTATTTAAATTGCACTAGAAAATGCAAAGGTTAAACACCTATGGTTATATTAGACCAACGCGAAGGAAAATTTCACTGACAATGTCGAACTCACTACTGTCAGTCTTTGTTACATGAGACAACCAACACCAGGCTAATCTTATATGTTTATATTTCATCATACAGCGGCAGAGGAAACGGATTCAAGTAATGAAGGGCCTACATCTTGATCCCGTTTTAAAATTTCATATTTTCTCTTGAGCACAATCTTTAAATTTCATATTTGCTCCTTTGGCACAATCTTATCTCAAATGCCACAATCATTGAAGTCCCAGAAGGCCAAAACAAGAAATCCCGGGCTTAACACAACATCATAAGTACTGTGGGCCAACCAAGTCAGAAACTTTTCAAGCTACCTGAAGATCCATTTGTAAGCATAACAGCATTTTGATTGTCACTACTCTGCTTCTCTTCACTAGAACCAGCATTTTTGGTTGCCCAGTTGCATCTTATTTGCCTATTTCCAAGCCATTTACCTGTCCAAAACGCATCAACCATAGCACTACTGGTATTACTATGTTTCAACATCGATGAAAACTATGCAACATGACGCAACATTTTAGATGTGTTACCTGTTAAATCATTTATAGCACTCTGAGCATCCTGAAAAAAAATTTCCAAGAGGCACTTAATCAGTTTATGATGTACCAGAGTTCTAAGAATGTAAAATCAACACTTGATAAACCAAAATATGGTGTCATGTTAATACCAACACTTTTTGGTACACAAAGTAGCAAAAATGATACGGAAAAACCAATTGCACTAAGCGTTGGTTTATGCATTTCATGTGCACCACTAATCACACGAAAGAGTGCAAAAAACAAGCTACCTTGATGTGATTCTAGGTTTTCAAACAAATGTGGGAGGAGATTTTCGGTGGGACGAATCTCACCAAAACTCTAGTTCTACTCACAACAACTTAATACCTGCTGTTCACGGAACGAAACAAAGCCATATCCCTTTGAGCGGCCAGTTTTGTGATCCCACATGACCCTTGCATCACTGCAAAAGATAAAAAGGACAATAAGAAAAAGTCTTGTAAACCTAAAAGCAGGACATTTGGAATTTAATAGGTGATTCACACTGTTACACACCCAGGTGGAAACACAAATAAGTGGAACTATTATATTTCTACACCAAGTTTCAGCCCTGAGCCTTTAGTCCGTCAGTAACATGAACAGTGGATGAAAGCAATGAGGAAAAACTAAAACATGCTACCCTAGCACCTGAGATACAAATTTTATAAACTTGAAAACAGAAAACGATAATAAAAAGAAACAGGAACTCACGAACAACTAGGATAGACCATGAAGCAAGCAAATAAAGTTGCATCTGTAACCTCTGGACTAAGATCACCGACAAATATATTGAAGTGCCCTGATCATTGTAAAATTGCATTAAAGGAATGAACCCTAATTAAATTGTAAGAACCCGTAAAAATAAAATAAAATTGTAAGCACAGCAGTAGAACAACTGAAGCTCAAAGCAACCTGAAGTATCTCCCCTCTGGCTATTGGCATATGCCCAATTCACCTTAAGAGCCTGACCATAACTGCAAATCAGATTTAGAAAGACTAATGAATATAATCAATCCTCGAAGCTATTGACAGACATACATGATCGAAGTAAAGAAAGGCAAGAGAATAGCCACACTTGTTCTAAAGTAAGTGAATGCTTACAGTTGGCGTC